ATTTATAACCCTTCAGCATCACCTCCGGTAACTAGTTCTTACCTCACTCAAGCACCACCTTCAGTAACCAACATTTACCTTGCTCCATTATCAACCAAAAAGACAAATTCTAGCCTCGTTTCGTCATCATTTGGAAGTGCTGTCCTTGCTTCCACACAAGCTACAAATATTTACCATGCTTCACCATTAGCACAGTCTAATCATCTGTTGGCAGTTACAGGATTACCATCGTCTGACACCTCAGCCACAGTCAGGTCGGTGGCCATTTCAATTGAGAAAGACAAACAAATAGAATCCTTCGAAGAACCAATATCACCTGAGATACTAAAAAGAGCTAAAAAGGGGTGCTCTGATGCGGCAGTTTGGCTTAAAAACAACAACCGACTATTATGATGTGCAAGAATGATGCAAGAGAGGAGAAGATAAAGCCTAAGGAGTCGCAAGATAAAAGTACTGCAGTGATAACGATAGATTTGCAGGCTGTTTTATTTGGCCCCTCATTAAATGCCAGTTTGTTATATTATAAAATGAAATTGGCATGCTATAACTTTACAATTTTTGATTTGGGTCCCAAAAACACTATTTGCAATTTTTGGCACGAAGGAGAGAGATCTGTCCGCCAATTAATTTGCATCTTGTTTATGCGATTATATTATTAATTATTTACCATCTAATGTCAAAACCCTCATTATTCAGATAGGTGTACTTATTAAAATAGAAATTCCATATGAGGTTAGATATCTATCACATGATTTCTTCAAAGAGTATTCATCTGTAAGGTATTATATACTGAGCGCCAAATATTTTATTACTAGGTGGTTTTGTATGTATAATATTATGCAATACTATGAACTATTGTTTCACACAATGCTCCCAAAGGCAAAAAATATCGGCCCGTGTGCACAAAAAAAATAATGCACGAGATGCACATGAAAAACCCAATATTCACGTGCAGCATTGTGTGTGAGCCCTTTAAAAGCATGTCTTCAAATTTATGTTCAGTACATGAACTGTGAAACGTCAATCTGTCGTAATTTGTTGTTGGACGTGTGAAGGAATCGAGCTAGAGATGCCGAGACTTACTGACAATCAACGGAATGAAGCCATTGGAATGTCCCGGGCTGACATGTCTACACGTGCTATTGCCAGACACTTCAATTGTCATCTGTCCACTATTGTAAGGTTGGTGGAACGTGTTCGAGTTACTGGATCAACACGTGACCGTCAACATCCTGGTCCACAACGCGTTACAACCCAGGCTCAAGACCGCTACATCCGGGTCACTCATCTGCGTGACAGATTCCGCCCAGCGACTCGAACAGATGCAGCAGTCGTCGGAAGACAAGGACCAGTAAGTGCCAACACCGTAAGACGTCGTCTAAGAGAAGTAGGACTCCGTGCACGACGACCTTATGTTGGAGCTATCCTTAGGGATCATCACCGTCAGCGGCGTTTGATATGGGCTCAAGGACACCAGACATGGAGAAGAGTAGACTGGCAAAGTGTGCTCTTCAGTGATGAGAGCTGCTTTCATCTTTATCACGCTGATGGCCGTCAAAGGTGTGGAGACGTCTGTGGGAACGTCTTGCAGACTGCTGTGTCTTCGAGACGAATCGATGGGGTGGGGGAAGTGTAATGGTGTGGGGAGGCTTCACATTTCATCACTGGACCACCCTACACATTTGCAGGGGTCGCTTTAATGCTGTAGCCTACCGTGATGATGGCTCGTGGAGGACACACGCGCTACTGACATCTGTGTCGTACTTTTGGTTTTGACCCCTCTGACTTTGTACCCTTGATTACAGATTAAACATCCATAAGTGTACAAATGTGTTGTTATTGATGTGTTCCCATTTGAATATTGTTCACAATAAGAACCAAAATAAATAAGATATGTTTACAGGATCATTTTGTTATACGAAAAACTAAGTGATGTGTTTTCCATGGCGCTCAGTATACATCCATTTGCCATGGAATTCGGACGTGAGATCCGGTAGTAACAAATTTGAGAGTTCTTAAGTATCTCCCTAGAGGCGAAATATTATATAACTATAATTATAAAGACTAGTATTGGTTAATACCAAGAAAATCCAAACTTAGTAGTCCATCACAAAACGCCAAAGTTGAATGATTATTTCAAGAATCTTCTGGAATTGAAAAAGGTAATTCCAAGAGATTATCACACATTTTATGATCAACTGAGTCATGATTAGAACTAGAAGATTTGTTTGAAAATTATAAAATTGTTTATTTGTTTATGAAATGTTTATTACAATTATTGCTAATTACATATAAAATAAATAATCGTGAAAAAGTGTAATTTGATAACTTTTCTGTAATTGATTCTATGCTCATGGCTGAACGTACCTTGGGTTTTATTTAGAACTTATGTTTATGGAGTAAATATCATGAGTTCACGACCCATGATATCTTATCTTAGGTTGCGTGGTCAGTATCATCCCGATCAAAGGATATATTTACCTACCAGAACTGATCCAAGTGTGACAAATTTGCATTTCGCCACATGTTTGACATTCCTAAATATGTATTAACCCCTTTTACTCTTGTCTCAGTGTACTTACTTTGATAGCGTTGCATAGTAAGGCACGATGTTGTATGTTATAGGCAATGATATTTATTTGTAGGGGAAACATTCAATTTTACTTGCCTTACACTGCCTCGGTCATATTTTGCATGTGCCTGGTATAATATAGTAGTTTTTGGGAGAGGTGGTCAATTTTAATGTTAAGTAGGGTAATCAAGGGGAGTTAACTCTATTTCATGATTAGAGTTGAATTTTACTTATTACTTATTTAAATAAATATATACCGATATTATCTATGTTTCAAAATCTTTAATTTTATATGTTTGAACTATGTTTAGTTAGTTTTATGTGAGACTTGGGTTCGCTTATTTTATTAGATGATATCTAATTAGGGACTTTACCATTAAGATATTTATAACAAATAGTTGTCATATGTAGCTATGTATTAACAGTAATGCGGTACTCTCTTGTGTGGTACGATGCTTTCTGGATAATCAGATCACCGTTAAATCGATTGTCTACGAGAGTAATGTCTACGAGTATGATAAATGTATGTGAGTTTTTGATGTCATTAAATTTTATGAAGTAATAGATGCATATTTTTCCTCCTTTATAAGAAGGTGAATGTTAGAGGTCACCCTTACTTTATGTGGAAGCAGACTTAAAACACCAGGATACTACTACTACTACTACTAGGTATTCTCTCATGTGGTACGATACTTTCTGGATAATCAGATCACCGTTGAATCGATTGTCTATGAGGGTATTGTCTACGAGTATAATAAATGTATGTGAGTTTTTGATGTCAATAAATTTTATGAAGTAAAAGATGTGTATTATTCTTCCTTGATAAGAAGGTGTATGTTAGAGGCCACCCTTACTTTACTTCTACGATTAAACCGCTTGTGCCGTAATCTCTTGTTAGTGTTCTTTTATTAGTATTGCGTGTAACACAAGGCTACATGTATTTACCTACCAGAAAACTTACCTGGAATTGTGTAGTAGATGCTATGATTATTATTATTATTATTATTGTTCGATTTATATAGCGCTTCATTACACATGAGTATTTCTAAGCGCATTTCTATGATCCTGGGTTATGTACCTTGAATTATGTCATGGATATTATGGCCCTGGATTACTTACCTTGAATTATGTCTTGGATATTATGGCCCAGGGTTAGTTGCCATGAAGAATTATATCGTGAATATTATGGCCCTCTAGGTGGATATCATGACCCCAGGTGTTGTAACTTACTTTGAATTGTGTAGTGGATATTATGACCCCGGGTAACTTACTGAGTCAGTGACTGATCCAGGTGCCCCCTCCCCTCAGCTCTAAAATGACAGAGTAAAAAAATAATTTATTTTTGTGTTTCTAAGAAACACTTACTAGGTCAGTGGCAGAATCAGTTGCCCCCTCCCCTCCACCCTAAAATGACAGAATAAAAAAATAATTTATTTTTCTGTTTCTGCGAAACGTGTAAATTTGAGCATTTTGTTGGGGTGATACTGCTGAAGAAATTGAATGTTATATTCGGGTGTAATATACTTCACAATTCATCCGAAAAACCCTGATTTTTCCGAAATTCCTCGGAGGCCCTTCTGGTCACCTCTAAAACAAATATTCTGTGTCTGCCACTATACTAGGTAACTTACCTTAATACAAAATAATCTGTGTAAATAGGTCAGAACAAAAGGTCGTTTATACCCAGAACAGGCTTAAAGTTTGTAAACAGAAAGTTGTATATTGCATACGCCGCCATTTCCCCAAGACAAAATGTTGTGTATAGCCATAGCTCATAAACCCCTAAAATTATCCCCAAAATAACCATCCAATATTATATTTTCCACAATTAGAAATATCATAAAAAAGCCGGGACTGCAGATAGTTTTTTGTCCCTCCTTAAACTTACTAAAATCAGATATACGAGGGTTTGATCGCCCACCGATAATATATGGTACGCAATACGAAAGATGCATAAGAGAAACATCGATCATAGTGAGTACACAGTCTGCTGGTCCTTAATTATACACCTTTTGGTGCAGTTATTGCATTATCCAGAAAACATACCAATTAAATAATACACACCTTTGACATTCATTTTTTACCCGTCTGTTAATTAACACACCTCTACAGAAAATACATCGTCGCACAGTTTTTCACCCCTAGCATTAATTAACTCAGCTCTCATTCATTTTCTCACCCTTGTTATTTAACGGACCTTATTTACAATTTAAACGCGGTAATGCCGAGTAATAATCGGGAAAATTCATTTTCTTTCAATCGTCGTATAAAAAACACCCCAGACAGTGATTTATATACAGTCCATGCACAGATCAACTCTTCCTACTTCTCAGTGATGTTTAGTTCAATATAATCTGGTTGGCGCTGATGTCCAATAAAACTCTATTTCATTCATTCATTCATTATTTCATTTTTAGTATAGGCTTACCTGGGCTGCTTCCATAAGGTCAGCATACAATTCCATTGTCTTCATGAACTGTAAAACTTGTGCTTGGTCGTCATTTCCATTCATGACACAATCATCATTCATAGTCTACAAAACAAGGTTACCCTGCAGGTAATCGTCACATTGAGATTATTTAATAATGTAAAAGCTGAACACAGCAGCTTTGTTTCAACTGCAGCTTATCCAAAAGGTAAACTTGGATGTTGGACAAATTTGATAAATACTTAAAGAAATCTAATCCCTAGGGTTCATCCTCTTGTGACCCAATTCCTTCCAACCAAACTTGAAAAAAAAATCTGATAAAACCTATACCCTCTATCGTGTTCACAAGGTTTTTGGCAACGAGGGGATAGTGAGAGACAGACCCTACTCCTTGTTACATTTAAGCGGTAAATCGAAACTACACCACTTAACCCACTGACAGACATTATGATTTTACACACATGTTAAATCACTAGACACCCCCCCCCCCCCCCACCACTACCACCTCCGCAAAGTGGAGATAACACAGGAACAGAAGGCTGCTGATTATGAATATCGATACGCACCGATGACCCTAGTGCTTCTGTAGCTATTATCGCGTTAACAAGGTCCTTCAGAAAAAGGGGGCTTAACTCTGTAAAGAGTTAAGTGATATTTCAGTTTTTCGATATAAAACCATCACAGAAATATAAACACTCCAAAATACTGTCTTCAAAGAAATATCGTTAAACCGAACGAGAAATCATGGTTTTTATTTTTCTGGGTGATATTTAGCATAAATATTGAAAAACGTTTTCTTTTCATGTTATTTACCATATTTGATTGTTTAATGATGAATAAATAGCAATAAATAATGTTAAATGTTCCCAAGAGTTCATTCCATGAAGTTTGAAATTGCTTTTACACCTATTCTCACGTAATAGACCCCATGCTCTGCATTTACTGTCGCACTATTACTTGTTACTCAAAGTAATATAACTTACACCTATTTATATTTTCTTCAAAAAAGAAATTATTTGTGTAAATTATTTCCCAAAATGACTGTTGCTTTTTTGATATTGTTTTCAGATTGTTTTGATAAATAAAAAAAAATTGAAATTACTGGAATTATTTTTAATAGCTAGATATAACACCACAAAGTCAACAAAAACTTAGCCATCAGCCATCCGCGTCGGCATACAATTCCATGGCAGTTCATCCAACCAAGGGGGATTGGATGGCTGAATGGTTAGCATGTGCGCGCTGTATCATAAGGTTTGTCATTGAGTCGCCTGACGTGGTTTCGATTCCCCGAGTTGTACCTGACAAGGAGTAGGGTCGCCTGTCCAACCTCGTGGGTTTTCTCTGGGTCCTCCAGTTTCCTCCCACTGCTAAAGACCCCCACGCCCCTGAAATAAAATTGAACCATGTTTTAGTCCTGAAATGACCTAATTTGTGTTGAGTAGACCTTAAACTCTCATGGTGTTGAGTGTGTTTATGGTTACTTACAATTTGATAATACATTTAGATAACATAATGTTGAGGATAACTTTAAAAAATTTAACGCGGTTTTACAAGGATCATTCATTTTGAGGCCAGATACCAAAACCCATGGGAGCCACGGTGGCTAAGTGGGTAAGACGCCGGCTGGCTAGTCTGGAGGTCACATGTTCAATCCCTGCATTGGTTGAGAAAGTTCATCGGGATATTCCGACGTGCTTTCCCCATGTCAGTGGTGCAGGACCGAGGGCCTGACAAGGACAGCTGTCCAGTTGTTTGGATGGGATAAAAAACTGAGGTTCTGTGTATACATTGGCGTGCACATAAAAGATCCGTTGGCAGTTTGAATTCGATATAAGAGTACATGTAGGCCATAGTGCAGCAAAATTTCCCTAATTGCATATGCCCATCATCATTAGCCCGGTTGGAGCAAAACAGTAGGACGTTGACCCCATTTCATTTCATTTCCAAAACTAACTCGTTTATAAAAAAAATTGCCCAAGGTTGATTGCGGTGTATTTTTTCATACCTCCTTACAAAAAAGCAATAATCATTTGTCTCCTACCAGCCTAAAAGGGGATTTAGTAAAAGGCATATTATAATAACGGACAGCCCTATGGATAACATTCACTAGGTTTATTACGGTAACTGCACCGTTATCAAGCAATGATACAATCAAACTTGTCTTATTGTCCCCCGCTTTTCGAAGAAAGCAGGGGACTATTAAAATGTGTCCTTCCGTCCGTCACACTTTTTGGGACACAATAACTCTCCTTCTAATTGACCTAGAATGTTCAAACATGGTGTAGGTGTTTATTAGGTCAATGCCTTGATGGAGTTCGAAGATGAGCATTTTCTGCTTAGGGTAAACAGAGATAAGCAATTTGATTGGTTGATGCTTTGGGACACGATAACTTTAGTTCAAATTAAGTGAGAGTGATGAAACTTGGTGTATAGTTTCATTACATCAATACCTTGACTAAGTTCGATAAGGAGCATTTTCTGCTCTGGGTAAGCAGGGCGATAAGCAATTTGATTGGCCGAGACTTCGGAACACAATAACTCTCCTAATTGAGCTAAAAAGTTCAAACGTGGTGTAGGTGTTTATTAGGTCAATGCCTTGATGGAGTGTGAAGATGAGCATTTTCTGCTTAGGGTAAGCAGAGATAAGCAATTTGATTGGTTGATGCTTTGGGACACGATAACTTTAGTTCTAATTAAGTGAGAGTGATGAAACTTGGTGTATAGTTTCATTACATCAATACCTTGACTAAGTTCGATGATGGGGATTGTCTGCTTAGGCTAAGGAGCAATAAGCGTTTTGATTGGTCAAGACTTTGAAACATAACAACTCTGCCTCTAATTGAGGTAGAATGTTTAAACTTGATGTAGATGTTCGTCTTGACCGAGTTCAATGATTAACATATTGTGCTAAAGCTAAGCAGAGATAAGCAATTTCCTTGGTCGATGATTTAGGACACGATAACTTTGATTCTATCTGATAGAGAGTGATGAAACTTAGTGTATAGTTGATAATCAGTTTGATTGGTCGATACTTTTGAAAAAAATAGATGTGCGATTAATTAATATGTGTCATCTATTTATTTGGGGATTGCGGCTTGTTTTATTATGCTTAGTATACGTGCATGGGTCTTTCCTGGGGGAGGAATCTGGAGTACCCAGAGAAACCCACGAGGTTGAGAAGGCGCCCCTATCTCTAAGCCACATATGCGCACACCAAGGATCGAAACCACAACCACAAGCCAGGGGTGATCGACCAGCTAGAGGTCGAAGCGCGGCACGGCTGTCACTCTTGCATCCACTTTTGATGAGCCACATGGTAGTCTCCGGAGCAAATTGGCCCAGTTGTAATGTTCTCAATTTGGTATCCTTCTCCCAGCAATACTGTTCCAGATCAAGTTCCGGTGGATTCTGATCTTCCAGTGAATGCCACACAATAGCTTGGTGATGAACTCTTTTTACGTTTGGTTTCGAATCGCTGGTTGTACGTGGCAAGGAGTAGGGTCGCCTGTCCAACCTCGTGGGTTTTCTCGGGGTCCTCCAGTTTCCTCCCACTGCTAAAGACTCCTATGCGCAAGCGAATTATTGAAATAAAATTAAACCATATGTTAGTCCCGAAATGACCTAGTTTGTGTCGAGTGGACGTTAAACCCCATTTCTCTCTCTCTCTCTTTTTACGTTCTCTGCAAATGTATCATTCGTTGAACAAGATTTACATGCTTTAGATGTCCACACCCTCCAGCGTGTTTCAGACCTAGATTTCTAGAACTCTGTCCATATCCATCCTCGGTTACCCAGTGTACTCATTCCGTTCTACTCCACTATACCCTGGGTTAATCCATAGAGTTTCCACGATTTCAAATTATCTGCCCTGGCCTAGAATGTAGCTACAGTCTACGAACCAACCAGAAAACAGTTTACAAACCAATCGTTTCGCCTTCGTTTTATAAGTGTAGATAACCATATTCATGTCCATTTACTGAATGATTAATGTAAATAATGTATATATTTATAATTTATTTATATTTAATTGTATTATCAAAATCTGTAGTATGTGTTGTTGATTTCAAATATGTATAACATCTATATATTTGACTTTTGTTATTATTATTACTATTCGTTCTTTGTCTGAAATATGTCATTTTGTTATGTCTATTATTATTGAACTTATACTTGGCAATTTGATTCACAATAACTTGTCTACGATATCACGTGGACATAAAATTCCAGGAACAAACGAACGATTCTAAATAACACTAATGACCCTACATTATTATATGAACGTCTGGTCTTCATTAACATAGTATATAATTGGTTGTTAAAAATTAAGCATTTAGCATAGGCCAACTCCTAACATTGTTCGATGAGAGTTACTTACCTGTGCCAACTTCCTTTTCAAATAACAATTTATGGGATTGGTCGATAAAAATAGCACAATCATCAAGGGCGGATAACTTGAAAACGTGCCTCCCCAATAGATTAACCCGGGGTATAGTGGAGTAGAACGGAATGAGTACACTGGGTAACCGAGGATGGTCCATATCAAGCTGACATAAATACAGTGCCCTGTGTAACTGTGTAAGCAATGATTCTATTGGAGTGTCTATTACTCCGACGAGTGAGAGAGAATACCTTCAAGCTCTAACCACTTTCAAAGCTGTTCCTTTCCCCACGGCATAGCCGCATGTGACCGTGCCACATCCAGTAAGATCATGAGCTGGCAGGATTTCAATGATAATTGACATGTGTTTCTCCGTAGTTTGACCAATGTCAAAGGTTGTTCTGTAAGTTTGTTATGGACCAAGCTCTTGCAAAATGATGACTGAAACACACTCCAAAACTGGAAATGTATTGACATCATTCGCACCTAAACCATGTAGTCTAGTGAACGTAAAAAAAATATGTCACCACAAAGCTATTGAGTGCCGTTCACTGGAAAATCGGAATCTGCCGGAACTTGATCCGGAACAGTATTGCTGGGAGAAGGACACTAAATTGAAAACATTACAACCGGTAAACTTGCTCCGGAGTCTGCAATGTGGCTCATCGGAAGTGGATGCAAGAGTGACAGCTCATGTAGTACGTGTGCTTGTAGCTGCACTAGGAATGGCTTAGAATATACA